AATTCCTTTTGATTCCCTAGTAATCATAATAAATCCCTCTGAAACCTTCAGGAAAAAACCCCAGAATTTTGAAAGGCTTTTCCCAACCTCTAACTCCCTCTCTTTTTTCTATTATAAGCTGAATATTATAGGGTTTTACACAGATACTTATTAGTGTGTATGTGTTTCAAATTGGAATTCATCTGAATAAAATCAGCAGCTTAGCAGAACACAGCAGATGTGATGGGAGCAGTAAGGCTTTGGTGGGTAAAGCTTTGCTCACTTGAGTGGATCAATGAGCTTCTGAAACTTCTGACTTGTTCAAGTCTCAGCTGCCTGATACATGAGGAACTTGGCTACTTGTGAATAAGATAAAGAAAAACCAAATACTTTGCTGATTCTATTTGACTTCCATAGAAAGAACACAGTCAGGAATAATTAAGAATTAAAATTTAGAAGCGACAGAATAAACCAAAGGTTCTAAGTAAAGCCTCACCCAGGAGTAAGAGATGTGATAGCCAAAAGGTTGCATCACTCAAACATTACTGAAAATATAATCTTGAAACACAAACTTGGAGTGTGCTGACTTCAGATTTATGGGAATGAGTATTGAGTCTGGAAAACTCCCAAATGGCATTTTAAGTGATGGCAAGAAGGACATAGGCATTTTTCTCTCCCCTCTGCCACTCACAGCTGGGCAGCTCAATGGGATTATTCTTATTTAGTGAGATTCCTGTCACTCTGCCAATCCCAGGGCATCCCACAGAAGGCACTCAGGTGTAAAACAATAAATGTACTCTGCAGCTACACCTGAATTCCTCAGATTTGACTGTACCCTGGAATCTTTAAAAGCCTCTCTGACAGCTTTGCTTCCTCATCATGTTTTATGTTCTTCTGTTATTAGAAGAAAATTTATGTAGTCATTACATTTTCACAGTTCTCCAAAAAAATTTGTGTTCATTTCAGCTCTCTGGCTAAGATGCTGGCATGCATCAAATCTGTAACAAATCCCCCGGGAAAAGGACAAAACTTCATAGCATGGCAAAAAAATGCCTTAACTCCAACTCTCAGATGAGAGGCTTTCAGAACTAGAATCAAGATGTTCTAAAATAGACTCTGTCACATAATCAGCAATCTCAAGGGGATTTTTTTCCAGGCTTTTGTATGGAAATATGTCTTATCTCAAGAGGAGATAACTGCAACAGGTCTATATACATTAGCTGTGCTTTTTCCAATGCAGAGTTCATTTTTAGAAAGGCTGTTCTACCTCCTTCTCTCAAGATAACCGGTGATTAACAGTTCTGGCTCTGGTGAGCAATGCACAAGCAGGGCAAGAAGACACAACCTGTGTTTTCAAGACACAAATCTACACTTGCTCTGTCACCATAAATAATCCTGATGTTATTATATTGCATAACTTTGTAATGCTGATGTAATTTGTTATACTGCTAATATGTATTTACATTACCTTGACTACTTCCTTCTTAAGATCATCCACAATCTCTTGTGTTGTTCACTTGCAAGTAGCTACATTCACTGACCCAAAAAGTTTGCTGGGAACTTAGTTTACAAAGGACTTGAGAATTTAAAAGTCTCATGGCATTAAATGCACCAATGGTTAATTAATTTCATTTTAAAGGCCAGAAATAAGAGCCATTCAGAAATACTGCAAATAGTTCTGCCCCTCCAAACTTCACCTTGTTTACTTTCTCAAAGTAATGCAGAAGCAGTGCTAATATAGGTGGGTGCACACAGGGTACCAGCCAGGGATGAGAACAAATCCTGAACACTTCCTCAAGGATAATGGAGGTGCATCTGGCCTCTAATTTCATCCCTCCAAATGGTTAAGAGCATGTACCAGGATCTGCTGCTGTATTCACAGCGGTGTCCTCTGTGTTTATGATCTCAGGAAGAAAGCCACTTTTATGATGTCCTGTTTTTCAAACTTCACTCATACTCTTGAGCCTATTTGGTCTTGAGAATGACTGCATCTCTGACTGCCACTCCAACATTTCTTTCATTCAAAACGATCTATTCATCTGTATTCATAAACATGTCAATCTACTGGTTCAAGAAATCCAACCAATCCTTCAAGAACAAAAGAACAACAACAAAAACCTTCTCCTTAATCCACCTCCCTCATTAGCTAGGATTAAAAACCTTAGTCAAAATGATTGGCCTTGTGCCCAGAAAAGCTATGAGATCAATAATCCAAACAGACTTAATGATCCTCTTAGAAAAGAATAACTTTTGTACTTTGGAACACTTAGAGAAAGTGATGGGAAATGCACAAGAAGTGTCACATCATCTGCATAAGTTAATTTATGTTATTTTGAAGTTCTACAGTTATGGGAGGTCTTTGGGAAATAGTTTTTTTTCTTCTTCTTCTCTGTTAAATGACGTTTATTGTCTGCAAAAACAGTAATATGAAAAATCACAAACTGTATCAGTGATTAGCCTGTAAGAGCCTAAGAAGCTTCATTAACATTTCCAGTATCTCATTTCACTCATGAGCAGTTTAAAATTATTGTATTCCTATACAAGCTCAGTATTCTATAAGACTTTTTGTAGGCAATTTAACTTGTTGGTATCCTTATTTTGACATTACTAATTACACCTTCAAACTTTTAATAAGTGCGACTTTTATTTTACAAATTCAAGTGGTGGTGGGAAGAAAAAGAAACCCAAACTAATCCCTACTGTATAGCACAAGGTGGTGTTATAAAAAGTCAGTGCATTTGACCAAAGCAGGGTTTAAACTCCACAGGGAATGATTCTCTCATGGACAGGAAAAAAATGTCTTGGAGTAGAGACAGGCAGATACTCAGCAGGGCATGGATGTTGTATGTGGGTGTGCTAGCTGCAGGCAGCCTAGCCTGACCATTTTCTATGTGGGAATTAGCTGTTATCAGCACTCATTATCTATCCTCTCTACACTTCCTGGAAGAAAGCAGGCATATCTGTAGCCCAATTCACACCTTGTGTTGTGAGCAGGAATAAATCCCCTTTGAATGGCCTGGTATCTTTGCTATTTACTCTAGAGACACCACACAACCAGTTTGAGTTTAAAATTTTAGTAGCTAATTTTGGCAAGATTAACTCATGCTGAAGACAGCTCACCAAAATGCCAGCCAAGAGTGATGTGATGGCAGTGGTTTCAGCAAGCTCATCCCTTTGCTCTTGCTTGGACACAGGTTATGGCACCTTCCCGAGGCTGGCACACGGGGAATCCTGAGTGGAAACCGAAACCCTCTGTGATTTTCGGCTTCTGTTCTCTGTTCAGTGAGGGGAAGAGGGAACAGCTAAGCAGAGTTTCCTCCAGCACAGCTCCCAGGAAAACCACTGTGACCAGGTGTCTCATTTGACACAGGGCAACTCAGCAATGGCAAGGCAGGAGGCGAGGACTGACCTCAGGGGGGAGCAGGGACAGCAGCTCCCTTCAGAGCTGAAATGGGTCCTGCAGAGCTTGCTAGGGAAGGAATGGAGAACCTACAGGGACAGAGGCAAGCGGAAAGATTGGGGCATGGTGAGGGCTTTGGAAGCAGGTAACAGAGGTGGGGTAGGAGCTGATAATGCTGGAGCCCAAAAAGGTGAAATCTGGTGGAAGACAGACTGCAGAATGGAGGACCCACCAGGAGGGCACTGTGGCAGGCCTGAGGACACAAAGAACACTTTTTCCAAAAAGTGACATTTTTTGTCACTGAGGAGAAAAAGGGAAATAAACTTTATCTAATAAAGATAAACTTTAGATAAACTTTATCTAATACTTACCCAGAAAGGTCTCAAAAAAAAAAAAAGTATTCATGCTTTGGAAGTGTAGAACTCCTCATTTTCACTACATATAATTGCATAGTTTGAACAGTGCTTCAGTCTGCACTGTTACTGTTTCTGTAAAGGTCATTAAGTTCACTTTCACAACAAAAAACTTATGAAGAAAGAAAACTATTTGCACCCCATTTTCCTGAGGGAATAAAAACAACTTTGCTAACCTGGTTACATAATTTTCACAGTTCAACTTTTCAAACTGTGAAAGAAATTTTTTTTCAGACTCATTATCAAGCCACGACTCAGGCAAGCAGCTCTCCCCTAACAAGCAGCAGCTTCCAGGGCAGCACAGCTGAAGAAATGTGGAGACCTTCTATCCAGCAGCTGCCGACACACTTTCCCTGTTAAACAAATCTCTTTAAGTGTAACTGAAAAAAATCTCTTTCACCTAGACACTCTATGAAAAGAATTGCCTAAAAGATGTCAGCTGAAGGGTATAAAAACAAACCTAAAAGATCTACAGCAATAATAATTTTTTAGCTTGCACTGGTGATGTAGAATAAAATCTAGTCATTAAATAAATTCCACTAGGAAACCTAAGGAAATGTAAAGCAACAGCAAGCTCTGTAAAGTATGGCTGAGCCACCAAAGCAAACATCAAAGAACTGAGACTAAAGAACTAAACCCAAACAATGTAATGTTACTAACAGAATCAATTCCCTATCTTTGTTGTTTGCCAGCACTAGAACACTGAAAACACTTCTGTTGAAAAAATTAGCTTTTTTTTCTGAGGGAATAAACCTTTGTAAGTGGTTCTTGCTTACTGGAGTATAATTAATAACATTATCCTAGCTGCTGCCAGATGTAACATGGTACTTGTTCTGCAGGCAATACTAAATTTGTACCTGGAAAGAGTTAATAACTTTAAAATAATACTTATACTTTTCTCAGTGTTTCAGTAATAAATGCTTTTAATTACCCAAGAGAAGGAGCCATAATAAGACAATCAGTACTGGAAGCTTTCAAGCAAGTACCTTGCTCAAAGATGGATGCAATTCCAGTCAAATGTTCCAGGTTCAACTAAAGTGATACCATTTCACCTCCCTCTTGATGTGAAACCATTTTGGAGACTGATTCTTCAGTAGTTCAGTGTAGCACTTCAATTTTAAACCTGATCTAATGAACAGCCATAGATGCTATGGATTCTAAACATAAAGAATTGACATGTTAGCATATTAATGTACCCAGATGTCACATAAATCATTAGAAGGCATTTTACTAAGTGACTCAGATATCTAGCAATACACATGCAAAGCTTCTTTAGCTCTTAAATATAAAGCAACTTCCTTTTGGCAAAGTCCTGATTAGAACAACATTGATTGTAGTTATTTATAGCTTAAATGCTATTGCTGACAATTTCTCCAAGTTGTAGATACTGTATTATTAACTATAGCAAAGCTCTAAAAATCAGTCAGCAGAGGCCACTTCAATCTCTGCATGATAATAAAGGATTATTATGTGCAGTAACCTATTTATGAAAAGGAAACAGTGTGCTTCTTTCAGACCCCATCAATTGCTTTAATAAGGAATTGAAAAGCCTGGCCTACTTTATATGCAGATCACCATCCCAGTTGCATAAGGATTTAGAACAGACAAAACAAAACTGTTTTTGTTGTAAATAAGGGCTGTTTGTTTAAATTGCACAATAATGTTTGCATCTAAAAATTATTTAGAAGCTAATAAGGTTTAATAAAGTTTGACTGTATACTTGTTAATAAAAATGGTTTCAATATTTTCCATGAAGGAAAAGCAAATTGAAGGTGATAACATAAAGCTTGAAGCAAAACAGGCCTGAGTTAATGGGAAAGGAGAAGACTCATTGCATTTGTTCACTGATGGGCTAAAGAAAACCAGTGCTGAGAATGGAATTCAATTAACTTCAAACATTTTATAACATTTAAGACACTGAACTTAAAGGTGATTTTCTCTAACAGATTAGAATTATTGCGGTATTACTTCAGCTTTAGAGACAAAAAGCACAGACAATGACACAATTCAGACTACCAAAAGTTAGTGGGATGCACGCACTGATTTCAGTTGGAGGACTCTGGAGTCCTGGGTTCAAATTTTACCTTTGGCATTGGTTCATTTGCCTGTATGTTAATAAATTTAATGAGGTGTGGGATGACCCCTGCTGGTGTCCCTGCTTATGAAAAAAATATGTATCTGGCAAGAAGAGGACATGTTAATTTCAGTCCAAAAAGTTACAAATATAAACTCTGTCCTAAAATGTATAAAAATACCTAATCCAATGCATAAAATATTATGAGTAATGTTCTGTTAAGTATGAAAATAATCTTAAGCCATTGAACATTACTGTGTTAGAGCTGCAATGCAATGTATTAAGAAGGACATTAATTGTTCAGTTCACTATGACATTGTGTTAAACATCTTTTATTAATGAGCTGTTATTCCCGGCTGAGGCATTTGATAACCTCTAGTCCATTGCTAAATCCTCTCAGTTGATTTCTGTGAGTCACTCTAAACAAACCTAGAGGGAAAAAACACCCCAATAATTTACATTTGAGTCTGTAAGGTCCTAGAACTAGAGTCATTTAAAGAAGGGCAGCTTTCCTATAAATCAAACCTTCTGATTTAATGCAGCTGACATATAGATCTATTTTACAATTTTTTTTTTAATTTCAAAAATACAACACATTAAAATAGGTTCAATTTATCAAAGCTAAGAGCAACAATTAAGTAATAATGTACTTAAAGTGCAAAGGCACTTTAACACAAAAAAGTGACGCCCAGTGGCTATAGTTGGTAATTGAAACAGCAGTACTGTATATTATTATTTACAAAAGAAAGTCATAGTCCAGGAAAAAAAGATCTTTGGAGATCTTCTACATAATACATTAAATTTCCATTTTGAAATGAAAAGAAAAAAAAAAAACAGAAATCCCAAAGACCCCTTCCTCATTTCCTTCAAAATCAAAAAAAATTATGCAAGATCTATTTCAGAAAGATACATTTGCAATGACAGTTCCTAGAGAAGGGTCAAAAGGAGAGAGATATAGAAATAACTTAAAGGGAACGTTGTAAAAGCAACACCACATCCCTGCTATGCTGCAAGGGTTCCTTTTCTCTCTCATTCCTTCTCTGATTTTAAAAAAGTGGAGATGTTGGGAATGCGACAGATGACATCAGTACTGAGTTCAGACTCAAAGAAATATGATGCTGAGCTCATTTAAAAAATTTTCTTTTGTCTCCCACCTCCCCCCTCACAGCTGACTGATTGCAGTTTGTTTTTCCAGAACTTCGAGGTAGTCTGGTTCTGTTTGTAGCTTTCCTTGGAGTAAAGGATGCTCAGGTTTAGACTGTTCTGCAAAATATTTCCTGGGAGTTCCATATAAAACAGTTTTATTTATCCTGTCCTGGTTTTGGCGTCTGGATTCATATGAAGGGGCAAACTGCCTTTTGGGTAAGGTACAAAAGTTATAATGAACTAATCCTCCGGTGGGGAGTTCCTTGACCCTTTCTGCAATATTTTGATACAGGAGCTCTGGTTCCCTTGGTGAGGACTGCTTTTCCAGCAATTCAGCTGCACTGATGGTAAATGCAAGACTGGTAGGGTCTTCTTTTTTGTGGTCAAGACTGCTATAGCTAAACTCATGGAGATTCCTGTAATAGGCAACTGGATCCCCTTCCTTTTGCATGTAGATTGGGTTTTGGCACATCTGTCCAACGGGAGGGGGAATGTAGTTATAAACATGTCCTTCAGTTTTATCGTGGGTCTCAGTGTTGTAAGACCCATACTGGAGCTGAAATGAACTTATATCTACATTGTTGGCACTGGTGGGCATGCTCTGCACCCCCTTCCGGCGCTTAAGGACAAAGACAAACAGACCTGCTCCAAAACAAACTGACAGGATAAACACAACCAGCAAGCCTAAAATTAGGACAGACAGCGGAACTTCGGTGTGTAACTCTGGGTAGGAGCTGGGTGAGGCACCGACATGGGGGGTATCAGTGTTCTGGTTCATGGAGAGGACAGAAGAATCTGACAAGTTGGGGTTCTCTGGGCAGATGGCTTCTTTGCTCAGGAATTTCAGATGCTCTCCAGAGTGCTTGGTGGGAGATTCGCAGATTACTTCATTGATAACTACAGGGGGATTTGACTGCTGGTTGTTCTGGTCAGTGACTTTCTCTATCCAGTTCCTCAGCCCCAGGATGTCACACGTGCAGTCCCAAGGGTTCTCTTGGAGGTCTATCTGAATCAGAGCCGAGAGCTGGTCCAAGACTCCTCTCACAGGCAGGTATGAGAAATGGTTGTTCCTAAGGTTGAGCCTGGTGAGGGAAGTGCCTCCAAAGACATTATCAGGCAAGGATCTGAGCAGGTTGTTATTGAGAAACAACAGATGAAGATTGCTCAGAGCATCAAATGTGCGTGGCAGGATCTCCTTGATGACATTGTACTCTAGGTAGAGATATTGCAGGCTGTGCAGCCCTTCAAACATGGATCGGTACAGAACCTCAAGGTAGTTGCCATTAAGGTAAAGTCTGCGTAAACTTGTGAGGTTTGTAAAGGCACCTTCTTGTATCACTGCAATTCTGTTATTTCCTAGATGCAGCAAATCCAGCGAGCTGTACTCTGTGAGATCGGTTCTATAAATGACTTGCAGATAGTTACTGGTAAGGTAAAGTTTCTTTGGACTGGTTGGCCTGGGGTGCAGATCAGAGATGTTACTTATCTTCTTCTCTTGGCAGTTAACATTTAGGCCATTGTCTGAGCTCTGGGACGTACAGATGCAGCCAGCTGGGCAGGTGATGGGCACAGGAGACTTTGTCTGGTAAACCATGATAGGTCCAAATATTTGCCTGTCTTTTGACACAGAGACACGGGGGGTGGGGCGGTTCCTAGTTTTGGGTGGCCGGCTGGCTTTTGGGGCCCTGGTGGGATTGATGGCAGAGTTGGCTGTGGGCGATAGCCTCGAGACGTGTGGGTCTGAGAGGACAGGGTGTTTTTCCCTCTGGTTTGAATCGCTGGAGCTTTTCCTAGGGCAGAGATCTTGCCTGGTGAGCTGGGTCACATCTTTCCCATGAAGCCTGAAGGGGGTTTCACAGACTATCTCGCCCACAAACACGGTGATGGTGTCTAGCCAGGCCTTGAGTGGCAGCAAGTCGCAGGTGCAGTTCCAAGGGTTTTCCTCCAGCTGGATTTCCATGATGCCTCCAATGTGCTCCAGCACACCGGCAAAAGGCATCATCTTCAGCCGGTTGCCCCGCAGGTCGAGGTGAGTGAGGAGCACAAAGCGGAAGACATTGCTGGGCAGGGACAGCAGGAGGTTGTCATTGAGGATCAGCACCTTGAGCTTGTTCAGCTTGCTGAATGCCCCCGCTTCAATGGCACTGATGTAATTGTAATCAGCCTGCAGGTACTCCAGACTCTCCAAGCCCAGGAAGGTGTCTTCCTTCAGCACTTCCAGCTTGTTGTTGTTGAGGTGCAGCCTCTTGAGGGTGCGGAGGCCGCTGAAGGCCCCCGTGCGGATCTCCTGCATGTCGTTGTTGCCCAGGTGCAGGGTCACGGCGTTGGAATAGTTGACGAACTCATTGGGGAACAGGCGGGTCAGTGCGTTCCCATTGAGAAACAGCTGGTAGATCTTGGACGGGGGCGGCAGGAGGAGGCTGACGGTTGTAAATCCCTTGTTTTCACAATTAATGTTCAGCACGTTCTCCTTCTCCTCGCAAGGGCAGCGGCTCTTGCTGCAAATGTCTTTGGCAGGTTTGCGACTCTCTGTCCACGAGATCCCAGCCACTGTTAACAAACTGAGCAACCAAGCACCCTTCAGCATCTTTATGCGCCGTCGATCCCCGCTTTGGTACCTACAGTCAAACCTTTTGAGACAGGTAAAGAGAGAAAGAAGAAATCCCCAGTGAACACTGCCGGGAGCAGGGGCTGCACGGGGAGAGCGAAGGCAGGTCGGAAGGCTTGGGGGGAAGGGGAGCTGCAAGGCAGCGACTTCCCAACTCCTCTGGAATCCCCCCCTACTCCTCCCTTCTTTTCCTCTCGGAAAGCGCCTGCGGAGCCGCTGCGGGGGAAGCCCCGTCGGGGAGCTCCCCAAACCCGGGTCCCTAGCGCTGGGCTCTCCGCCCGATCCCCCGCCCGTCGCGGCCGCCGCCTCCGCCCCGGCGGCCGCCGGCAGCACGATCTCGATCCCGTCCCCGCTGCCCGTCCCACGGTCACGGCGCGCCCGGCTGCTGCCAGCATCTTAAACCGGGGAACACACGGACTGCCAGCATCTTAACCCGGGGAACACACGGACTGCCAGCGTCTTAACCCGGGGTTCACACGGACTGCCAGCACACCCTCCCCGCCGCAGCGGCGCCCCCAGCCCGCGCTCCCCGCGCCGCCCCCGCGCCCGTACCTGCTCTCGGGGCGCCCGAGGGGGCAGTGGGGGCAGCGCCCGCCGCCGAGAGCCGCCGCGCCCCGGGAGCCAGGCGCCCGGCGGCGAGCGGCATCGCCCGCTCACGCCTCAGCAGGAGCCCAGCGGGGCGCCGCCGTCCCGTCCCGGCCGGGCCCGTCCCGGCCGCCGCTGTGCGGGAAGTTGGGCCGGGCGCGGGCCGAGAGCGGCGGCGCTGCGGGAGCGCGGGCAGTGCGCGGGGCGCGGCGCGGCGCGGCGCTTTTGCCGGGTGCCCCGCGCGGAGCCGCGCTGACGTCAGCCGGGGGCGGGGGGGACACGTTTTTCCCAGCCCCCCTGTCCCAGTCGCCGTCCCCCCTTCCCTTGGTGGCTCTCGCAGCCGGCTCCGCTCCCGGCTCGGCCGCTCTTCGCGGGAGCGCTCTGACAGCACCTGCAGGACAGCGCGGGCACTCGGAGCCGGGAAGGGGAATAAGGTAACGAGCGGATTTACCTGGGTCCGGAGAATTCTTGGCCCCGAGTCCCTGAATCCGCGCCCTCAAAACAGAGAGCAAGTCAAGCAGCTCCTTTGGCAAAAGCCAGCCGGCACCGCGCACGCACCGCACACTCACGCACACCGCACAGGGACACACGCACAGCCCGCACACATCCTCCGCACACGCCGCACAGACGCGCACATCGCACATCGCACAGAACACATCGCACATCACACACATGCACAATCTGGCTCTCCGAGCAGCGGTGCTGCAAATCCTGATCTGGCATCAGCATCGATCCCCCGCTCCGGCTGGAGCAGCCAGCCCCCTTCCCAAACTGCCGTGCCGAGCTCTGCCCTGCACATTAGTGCTCTACACGTTCAGGGAAGTTCAACACCTTCCACCAAACCGGGCTGCCAGGCAGCGGCAGTCCCAAGCCTGAACCCCTGCACCCTCTGGAACGCTGCCCCGAGTACTGAGCAGCCAGATTTAACCACATCTAACACCATCATTCCCACTGGCTGGATTAGCCCCACTGCCCCATTGAAATGTTGTGGTGTAGCGTTTGGCTGCCTTTAAAAAGAGCAAGATGTTGGATCTGGGTTATTGTGACTTTGCTTAAGCTCCATGTCCTGGGCTCCTATGTGATGGGAAAGGATGGCTGCTCTTGGTCTCTATCTAAAGGTAAAACTTTGGGTTCACACTGCGGGGAGGGGACAAAAAGGCACTCTACAGGGAATTTTTACAGTGCTAGCAGGGCAGGGTGCATTATTGCCAGATTCTTATAGGGTATTATATGCACTTAGTCTCTAGAATGTAAAGGTTTGCTGCCAAAAGAGTTCTGAAATTGGCAAAAGTGATACTGTCATCTCGTGGTATTCTTTAGCCATTATGTATCAGAGCCCACATTTTAGGAGCAGCAGAAATGTACTCTCTATTTTTATCTCTCTTCTTGAGGCTGGAAAAGGTAACATCCTGCAGCAGCCAGCACAGATGCCTTTGCAGTGCTCCTGGACAGGAATAGTGCTGGAGTTTGCATTTGGGATTGAAACAGTTGCAGTTTTCCTATCTAAAATTTGGAGAGGTTGTGACAAGAGCAGGAGCATCCCACACTGGAGCACACTTTTGGTGCGGTGCTATGTAAATTTCAACAAGATTGGGATTCTGAAATGAACTCAGAGCTGCTCCATTCTGACTCTTTATCCAGCTGAATTCAGGAACGAAAATTGCTACGATCAGGAAAGATCTGTGTGGCAGATCTGCTGCTTTACAACACTAATACACCAGCAGCCAGATTATTATTCTGTGAGATTTTTTGCTTATTTTCTGCTCTAAACATGAGGATATGGTGTTTGGGGAGCAAAATTGGACTAGTTACAGGCTGTAGCAAATCCTGTTTTCAGCTCTTTCTAACATAGTCTGGGGGCATGAGCCTAAAAAGAGAAGGTAAAAGGAGACCCAGGTTGATTTTTTTTTTTGTTTTGTTTTCAGAAAGGAGCATATTCATACACACCTGGCCCACACAGGGGCACATAGAGGCTCCTGTAACCTCCCTCCATCACATCTCACCTGAGCAGCCCAGCACAGGGCTCACTCCAACACGGCAAAAATGAAGGCACAAGTAACTCCAGTGCAATTTTCCCTTGTCTCAGAGTGTACATTTGTTTAATGTCCATGAGTTTCAGCCAGGTGCATCTTTCTGGTGAGCAAGGACCATGTCCTGGAACTGGCTTATGAGGCAACATGCACTATCCCACTTGCTTGTGTTTACTGATAGGTGGGAAATGTGTTTGTGGCACTGCTGATGCTGCCTGGGAAGGGAGAGCGTACACATGGCATGCCTCAGCAGTAATTACCAGATTCATGTGGGATGGAAGGAACAGCATGTTAGGGGATTGCAACAGTAATAAGACACAGAGATGATACTGATTCTATTACACTGCAAATGCATGCATATAATAACCATGGTTGTAGGAGGAGGAACAAGGATTAAAAAAAAAATAATAGCTTCAGCTTTTTATTTAGGAACAAAGTCCTGATTTCTCAGCATGCCTGAAGTGTTTTATAATCCCTTCAATTAAAAACAGAGTGTAAAAGAACAGCTTTTTTCCTCCACCTGTTTTAAGGCCTTTTTATTTTATATGTTGAATGGAGGAACATTTCTAGTTTGTGACTATCTGGGAGCCTCCAGGGATAAAAGGCCAGGAGGCAGGTTGGTACAGCAGCCCATGAGGGCTTGGGGAAACTCAAGGTTATGCCTGATTTGTAAGCATTGTGGAGGTCCCAAATATTTAGCTGTGTTCCCTCAATGCTCCTTTTTGTGCAGAGTCATGAAGACTCAGTACAGTTGCATAGATTATGAGACTTAATAGAACCATTGTGACTTTTGAATCTTGCATAACCCAGGCCATCAGCTAAATTTGAATTAATTCCTGTTCAAACTAGATCACACTTCATAGGAAAAAGAAAAAAAATGAAACCCAATAACATAGCCAGGCATATTTTAGCAATTGCCTATGGTGAAAATCTGCCATCGTGTTCAGTAAATTGTTCCAATAGGTTTCATCCCCCACAGGTAAAAGACTGGGCTTTCTCTACAACTCTGCATCTAACTGTCTTCAGTTGGAAATGTTTATCCTTGTAATATCCTTGTCTGCTGGCTTAAGAGCCCTTAATTATCCCCTACCTGTTTCCCATGGGGACACTCCCAGACAGCTGCAGAGCAAGTATGAACTGAATACTTGCCTGGTGCCAGCCTTACCCTGCTTCAAACAGTCTGTCAGTCCTGTGCTCTTCCATACACCAGTGCAGCTCTTGGCTCCTGCACAGTCCTGAAGCCACCACTTTATCTGTCTGCTGGCAGGGGAAAAAAAAGCCAGACCACAGCATGAAGCATAAGCACATAAAATTTGGCACAGATCATTACCCTTCCTGCCTAGTGCACATCATGCTGTTGTCCTTCTGGGAGAGTAAATATCAAAGAGAAGAAAAAGTCTGGAAAAATGTGGAGATAATTTTCTTTCTTCACATTGTATCTGCAGGTGGATGCTAAACACTACTTATACATCTTTACCTATCAGTTTTTCTGGGTTTGCTTCTCTGTATATAAATGAAGGAACAAACATATCCACCAAGTCTTATGGAATAAAGAAATGAAGGCAACAAGAAACAAAGCAAAAACTCTGTGAGCTGGATGGAGGGTAGGATATAAGTCTTACTGGTCATTAGAATCTATTAAGGTAGCCTAGATGCTGCTGGCAAGTAAAGAAGTGTTTATTCACATAGTATAAGTAGAAGCCAATATTGATTTCTATGGACACAACATGATGGGTCATGCAGTAAGACAATGGGAATTTGTGAATGTAGGTGTTTGCTGATCTCATATGTTCCTCATCCTGTAATCCTGAACTGCACATGAGATGCCTACTCCATGTAAGCTTTTAGGGTTCTGAGATAATCATCACCAGTCTTCAACAATATCTTGTATTCTGGCTTTCTCTGTGCATGTGTGTATCTCCATGTAGCTGGAGATATTCTACTTCCATAACTATGTACATTTTTGTGGTCTTTCCTATACTGTAAAGTGAATTTTTGACCATCACTTAAAAGGAATTCTTAAGGAATTCTTAAGTTCCCAGATTTAGTAGTGAACAATATGCAAAATAATTGTTACTTGTAATCCACAGTTTCATCTCATCCAGCAGCACTGGGAAGTGCTGTAAAGGACAGGATGAAAGAGGAGTCTCTGGCTTCCCCTTTCTTTGGGCAAGGAATGAGCAGGGGAGGGTGAAGGAGGGTGAGCAGGAGAGGCAGGGACGAAGGAGAGGCAGGGAGGGCAGCCTGTGCCCTCCTGGCCCTGTGTCCATCCCGGGCTGCCCAGCCACCGCCCCATGTGCCAAGAGAGGCAGAGGAGGGAGACCCTTGGGGTGAAGCCTTGGTGGAAGGAGAGCTGCTGGATGAGGCAGTGTGGGGGCAGAGGGACACTCCAGACTGGGTCTGCTGAGTTGCCTTTTGCTGGCAATCAGTGGCTGCCTGTGCCATCAGCTGTAAGGAATTTCTCTGGTTTCCAGATGTGCTTTTTAGCTCCATTTCTCCCAACCATGCAAACATATGGAGGGCTGGCCTACTTCAGAGTACTGTTCACTGACACTTCATGACTACCTATTGTAAAAATGAAAGAATTTAATGAACTATGACTTAAAATTAATGTGCTTTCTAACTCTTCCCTCAGTTTTTGCTTCCTGCAAGGACTCAGACCCTGGCCAAGGTTAGGCATTTTTGAGACCCGTTATCTAACTCCAACATGATTTTTTTTTGCAAGGAGAATACATCATTATTTGTTTCAATAGATCTGGGGTAATCTGTTTCATAACAGCACAGTGTGATTCTACCCTGGTGGTAAAAACTGCAACAGCAGAACTACCAGCTTCTGATTTTTTGTATCATTAATCCTGACTGTCTTAAGAAGAGAATTTAGTGTGTTATAATGGCAGAAACATCGGTTTCAGCAGGAAATGCGATAAAGAAGCTGTCTTTCAGAAGGCATCCCTGGTAGCCTGTGCTTTGGGGATACTGACAGACTCACCACTGTGCAATTAAGAATTGATCATTAGTTTAGATTTAGCCCAGATTTTTTCTCTCTTGCCTAGAAAAACAAATATCCACTCGCACCTTTTATCAAAGGACCCAGCAGAGCACTGTGAGACAATTAATATTTATGGGTGTCTTCATCCTACTCAGGAAAGTAGGATGTCTGATCCAAAGCCCTTTGGTGTCAGTGGAAGGACTCCGACTGATTTCAGTGGGATTTGGATCAGATCTTTGAACAAATACTTAGCTTCAAAGTCAGCACTTAGGTTTTATTGAGTGCTTTAAATATTTTTGGAAGTGCTTTGTTTCATCATGTCAATGGCTCTTTTCCTCTGATAGGAACAATGAGATGAATCTTCCTGATGATAGATATTCTGTGCTGGCATTGCTAAGCTACAAGAACAAAAAAAAAAAAAAAAAAAAAAAAGAAAAGAGAAGTGTGGGGTTTTATTTTCCCATCCTTAAAACAACAATGGATGTATTATTTATTGTGTTTCAAATGTGTGTCCACAGTAATTTCTACCATTACCATTTACAAGTACATTTTTTCAGCTTTCCT